GATAGATAGATAGATAGATAGATAGATAGATAGATAGATGTTATGATGCTTAATTGGTTCTTATTAAACTTTTTAGAGCCTGAAAGCATCTACAAAGTTTTGAGTTTGAGGATATGTTTGGGGTGCAGAGCAGGAAGTAAATGTAAAATAAAAGAAGAAGATTTAGCCATTTCTTTCCTTGATCATCATGGGAAATGTGAGATCCCAGGATGATAATAATAATAATAGGCTAGCTTGAGGACGTAACAGCGTTTTCTCACAGACTGGTGGCAGCTGGAATAGCTCCAACATGGAGTGAGAGACCAGAATAACCCCCCATACAGCAGCAGGACTCAAACATCTACAGGTTAACAAGCCCTTCCTACTATTTTAACACTATTTTAACACTATTTTAACACTCTTCACAATCTGTAACAATGCTAAAAACATGAATAAGATGTGAGAGGTGAGCTGGGTGCTCCCCTGTCTCCCCTGGAACTGAAAGCGAAGGTAAAAGTCTTTATTTGAAGAAGAATTTGTGCCGTCACGTGTCCACCAATGCAGAGAAAACATGACACACGTATGTTGATGACTTCATTGTTCACGTTCCTCGCACACGCACATTCTGTTCTGAACGCAGGTATTTTAATTTTTTACATTTTTCCTCCACCCTCTCTTTAGCATCCGACGCCTGATGATAATCAGTCCTCGTCCATCTGGTTTACAAACAGTTCCAGTTTCAGACACACCTGTTCATTAAAGATTAAGACATATTGTAAAACCTGAATCATTTTGTCATTGTTTTTTCACGGAAAAACATCTGAAACATTTCCCAAGATATATATATATATACATATACATATGTATACAGGCATATACAGTGGGGGAAATAAGTATTTGACCCCTTGCTGATTTTGCAGGTTTGCCCACTTACAAAGAATGCTTATTTTTCCTCATCAGATGGTTATCAATTTTTATAAATTCATATGATGTGATTTTCTGGAATTTTCTTTGGGATTCTGTCTTTCACTGTTAGAATGTACATATGATTAAAGTTATAGATCGTTGCATTCTTTGTAAGTGGGCAAACCTGCAAAATCAGCAAGGGGTCAAATACTTATTTCCCCTACTGTATGTTATATATGTGACTTTTTACCCAATATTTGTCTTGATCTCCACATCTGTCAACCATTCTGGTTCCGATTTTTTTGTTCCCAAAAACACTCAGAGATCACCAGATACTCAGGTTAAAATTAATATATATATATATATATATACTGTATCATATAATATCATGTATTATATAACATACTTATTTTGAGAGTTATAAAACACATCAAACGTGACCTTTTGTGTCTTCTGTTATCTGTTTTTTTTTTTTTTTATATCTCTGGGGATCGGTTAAGTTCACATTTTGTGTGGGCTGCTTAAAGCGAGACGCCCTGCCTGTTTAAACGGGGAGGCTGGGGTCGGGGCTGGACATGTGGGGCTGGATATGTGGGGTTGGATATGTGGGGCTGGACATGCGGGGTTGGGCTGACTCCGGAGGGTCATCACATGTCAGCTGCTGGCAGCTGGGTCCAACATGGCTGCCAGAGGTCTCTTACATCACAGTCCACTCATACATTAAAGGACAGAGGGTCATGATGACCGCACGTTACTCGGTTTCCCGCTTTGTTTCAGCTTTTCTCTCAGAAATTCTCCTTTTGAAAGAAAAATATTTAGATAAATGATTCAGTTTTTTAACAAAATTGTCAACAGAGTGGGATGTCTTCAGTTTTGAGCCTCCGTGATGTCATAAATTCATTTTTTGGGCTGCTGTTTCCTATTCTTTTTCAGATTATGCATTCATTTCCTTTGATTCCTTTCGACTTTCAGTCTTGAAGGATGGATTTGGGTTACCTGTCAGTTCACATTTTTAATCGATTGCATCATAGGACTCTGAATGGTGCCCCATCATTTGGAAGAAGTGTTTTTTTTTTTTTAAAGAAAGTGAACCGTTTTCAAGCAACTTCTGTTTTTTCTGAAGTTTTCTGAAGTTGAACTTGGCCTTCCTCTTCAGCTCTGATTGAAACAAGGCGTGCTTTGATCCACTGGTGGCTGCTAATGTTGCTCTATGCACAGTTGTGCTGCTGGATTGTTTCAACATGAGCTAAACCTGTGAACCGGGCAGCTGACTCAGATGTGAAATAAAGGAGCCATTCTGAAAAGCATCCGCTATCTATAGCAGGGAGGCGTCCAGCCTTTGGCCAAATGGAGACAAAGATCCTGCAGCTTTACATATGACATGCTTGTGACGGCTTGTTATCAAATGAAAATAAACAGACTCCTCTTCTTACAGTTTACCATGAAATACAGAATTATGTTTTCCCCATAAATGTATCATAATGCTTCATGATCAGAAATGTCAGAGTTGTGAATTAAACACAAACAGGGTTAAATGAGCGTTCAAAAAGGCAGAAATTAAGAATGTGAGAAGAAAAGATGGAAATAAAGGGGCTATAAAGGGAATATAAAGCCAATGAGGAAAAGCAAAGAGATCAAACATATCTGTGCAAAATAAACAATATAGAATAAAGAAAAAAATATTTGTGAGGAGAGAGATTAATGTGTGGGAAATAAATAAATGAAGACTCAAATAACAAATTGATGAAGTTAAATAATTAAAACTAAGGTTTTACACAAAGTGAAAGAAAATGATTCAATTGCACCACTTATTTGAATGTACATATACATATATATATTTTTCTTTTTTTTCTTTTTTAAGAAAATAGGCCATTAAGTGTCTGCAAGAGCTTTTGGCCATTTAAATGCTCAGAACTTTAAATAACTTGCATTTATTTGCAATGCACTGCATGTAGAACGGTGACACGAGAATTTAATTGAAGAAAATGGTCCTCACATCTCTAAAAATGACACATTCCAGACATTTTTTAGACAAGCAAATTGCTGGTTTGACACAGAAAGGCAGCGTCACGACGTTGGTGAATGTATTGTTCCAGAGAACCCTGACAAAGAAAAAAAACTCAGGCTGACTCAGGGCAGATCTCAGTTAAACTCAC